GCGGTGGCGCGCGGCGGGGGGCCGTTGGGGTGCGCGTCAGCCGCAGTGGACACCGCCGCTGCTGCCGCCGCCATGCAGCTGACGGTGAAGGCGCTCCAGGGCCGAGAGTGCACCCTGCAGGTAGTGTCGCCAGGCCCGGGCCACCCTGCCTCACTCGCGCACTCACCCCCTCCAGGCGCGGGGACGGGAGGGGACCTGGGGCGGCGCCGGCCGGAGGAGGGGACAGGGCGGGTCGGCCAGCCAGGGCGGGGAGGCCTGGAGAGCTGCCCCCTGGAGGGCCTGCGAGGGCTTCACAGCCCAGCCGACTGCGGGCTCAACCCCTGCCTCCCACCTTCGGCCCGCTCAGGTGTCAGAGGACGAGATGGTGTCCTCGCTGAAGCTTCTGGTCTCCGAGCAGCTGAACGTCCCTGTGCGCCAGCAGCGGCTGCTGTTCAAGGGCAAAGCCCTGGCAGGTACCAGGGGGGCGAAGACGCCCAGGGAGCCCCGCAGGAAGGCGGGGGGGGGGTGTCGAGAAGGAAACTGGTGGCAGTGTGACGCCCCACAGTGCGGCGGCTCTCAGTGCTGCCCGCACGGAGGGAGCTGACACCCCAGCGGCGAGATACACGGCAGTGCCCTTGCTTGCGCTCACCTCCCTGGGCCACCACCGGAGCCGGAGGTAACGAACTTCATCCATTTCTCCTTGGCAGATGGGAAACGACTCTCAGATTACAGCATTGGCCCCAATTCCAAGCTCAACCTAGTGGTCAAGCCTCTGGAAAAGGTGTTACTGGAACAAGGCACTGCGCGAAGACAGGCAGAGACGCAGTCCCGACCACTAGCTCCACCCTCAGAGACTTGGCAGGTGATTGCCAAAGTTCTGGGCCGACACTTCAGCGCAGCAGATGCCAACAGGGTGCAGGAACAACTCCAGCGGGTGAGAAAGTAGCCCCCTAAGCCCACACCTCCTCGCCACTCCAGTCCCCCCTGCTTCAGCCCCTGCTGACTGCCCCCCCCCCCGGGAATCCTCCTGACCTTCTCTCCTCAGGAGTATGAGAGGTCCCTGAGCCGCCTGACGATGGATGACATTGAACGCTTGGCTAGCCGCTTCCTGAACCCTGAAGTGATCGAGGCTACAGAGAAGGGGCTGTCCAAATAAGATCCTTGGCATGTGGGAGGAGGCATGGCTGCATGTTGCATTAAATGTGTTCTCATTAATCAAATAAAAATAGCTGGCTGGTAACTGTCTCTTGCTAGGTGCCGGTCACTGTCAAAAGCACTTGACCTGGGTTCACTCACCCAGCCCTCACAAGAGTGAGACAACACAGGCTCATACCAGTGAAGGGCGTGGGGACAGAATTTGAGGCCAGCCACCTTCTAGAAGTGCCTCAGGGTGGAGAGGAGCAAGTGGTTGTTTAGAAGAGGTCCAAGGACTGGGCTGTGGTGTGCCATGGGTGGCCTACCGAGAATAAATCCTCCATCGGCCCCTCCCAGGCCTGAAAGGGGAGCGGCTGATCCCTGGGGCTCAGTCCTGCCACCTGCCCTCGGGCGGGTCTAACACAGGCGTCTACTAATCCCTGCAGGAGCCCATGTGACACATGTCCTGGCATGTGACAGCCAGCCTTGGGGCCCTCCTCAGGGCTGCTGCAACCAGTGTGCTCTGATGAAGGCAAAGTAGAGGGGGGCAGGGGGTCGGGGTGAAATTTGCCCCGCTCTGTGGTGTGACCTGGGGCATGTCCCTGTGCCATGCTGGTCCCCAGCCATCGGCTGTGCCCAGTGAGGGCCACTCCTCCTATCTGAGTCCATCCTCTTTCATCCTCAGCCCAGCCCAGCAGGGAGGATCCCGGCAGCAATGCTTCCCCCCGGGTTGGATAAACAAACGGAGGCCAAGCGTGGACCAGAGATGGGGTGTCCTGGCCCTTCAGGTCACAGCTCTCCTCTGTCTCCTCCCGGAACGGGGTGGTTCCCACCCGTGAGGGGTGACAGGTGACTTGCTTGAGGTCCCTTAGCCAGGCCTCTGCGTCCTGCACTCAGCACAGAAGGTGCACGTGTGGGGGGCCTTCCCATTTCCACGCCCCTCCTCCCCTGAAGAGGAGCCCTCATGGGGGGAGGCAGAAGTGGGGGCTGGGTGGCACCAAGAGTGCAGGAGGTCATCTAAGCACTGCTTCTTTGAGGAGGGCACTGGGCGGTAGAGGCTGGAAGGAAGCCACGTGCACAGGAGGCCCTGCTCCAGCCCCTGTCCCTCCCTGGGCCTTCCCACATCTCCCTGCTCCTCCAGCAGGAGGGTGGCTTCGGTGGGAACCCCTGCCCGAGGCCCAAGGCGGGAGGCTGTGAAGACCAGACCAAACCCCCTGGACTACCCGAGGGCTGGGAACAGAAACAGCGGGATATTCCAGCAGTATGCCTGGTCCAGCCACTCAAGCAAATGTGCCAATGCTTTCATTTCGTTTTAGGCAGCAAATTTATTTTGAAACTTTAAATAACGTTAAAGGTGATTGAGATTTTTCTTTTTATCCAAAGGGAACTAACTATATTATAGAGGAACATGAGTTCCATTTCTTAACAGATAATTTACTCTGTAGCGCAGAAGTCAATGAAATGCCTTGAATCTACACAATTTACAAGTAGGTTACCTTTTGTTCTCTTCAAAGGATAGTTTTAACTATAATTTTTGGGATTTACTTGGGTAGGCTATTCTACTTCCCTAACTGTTTTGAAGAAGCAATTCAAAAATAAGCCACTTAATAATTACTCTTTTGTAAATGGTGTCAGTTTTGTCTTCTCGGGATGAACTAATTCGGTTACCGGTATTAAAGAGAAAAGGTTAGGATGTGGCCTTAGGAGGTTATAAAACAAACCTGATTTTTATGTTGGATACTTTCTACTAGTATACTAGCACTGTCGTATAGTTTCTGAAGAGTGGATCGATAACATTGTATCAAGGAAATAAAACACTTTAATGTCAAAAAAAAGGGAACTAACTGTATTAGCTAGGCCACCTTTAGTTCTGTCTTAGTCACCAAGTGCTGCTATAACAGAAAGACCACGAGTGGGCGGCTTTAACAAACAGAAATTTATTTTCTCACAGTTTTGGAGGCTGGAAGTCCAAATTCAGAGAGCCGGCGCTAGGGGAAGGTTTTCTCTGTCTATCGGCTCTGGGGGAAGGTCCTTGTCTCTTCAGCTTCTGTTTCCTGGTTCCTTGGAGATCTCCATGTGGCTTGGCATCTCTCTTGCTTTCTATCTCACTTGTTTAATCTCTTTTATATCTCAAAAGAGATTGACTCAAGATACATCCTACACTAATCCTGTCTCATTGACATAACAAAGACAGCCCATTCCCAAATAGAATTATAACCACAGGCACGGAGGTTAGGATTTACAATACATTTTGGGGGGGACACAGTTCAATCCATAATAGGTTTCAAATAATTAGTTTAACAATAAAAGAAATTGAAGTCCAGGGGTATTGCAGCAATGAAGCATTTCGCCAAATACCCACTTTCTTCCTGTCTCCCCTCGGCATTCTGCAATGTCCACTTCATTCTAGGCCACCCTTCTTATAAGCAAAGATGGCGGCCTGCACCTGCCATGGAATCCAAGGGCTTCTCTCCCTGTAGAGAAGCTTCTCAGATGACCCCAGCAAATAAGTGCTCTTGTCTCGTTGGGCAGAACTGGATCTTACAGCCAGTGTTATGGCCTTGACAGTGTGTCAAGAGGTGGGCAGGACTAATTCCCTTTCAGGGCCTGCCCCCTGGTGCTGGGGCTGGAGCCGCTGCCCTGGAAACACATGGGCTTCATGAGGGAGGTGGAGATACTCACCAAAGGCGAGGTCCTGGGCGGGGGGTGGGGGGTGGGGAACAAGAGATGCTAGGTGGCCCCAAACAGCTCCTGTTCACTACTGGGAGTGACACACACAGATGTGTGTTTCAGAAAGCAGGAGGAGAACCACCTGAGAGACGGTGAAGGAGGAAGGATTGGAGAGGGTGAGACAGAGGCAGCGAGCTCAGATGAGGAGAAACATTTCCTCAGGGCCCTCTGCTGCAAGTTCTCCAAGCTGCTGCCGAATCTTCAGACAGGTACTTGTGACCCCCATTTTCCAGGTGAAGAGACAGACCCTAGAGATGGTGTCATGGATTGAATTATGTCCCCCCAAAAATGTGTGTGTCAGTTTGGCTGGGCCATGATTCCCGGTATTGTGTGATTTTCCTCTATGTTGTAAATCCTGCCTCTATGATGTTAATGAGGGAGGATGGGTAGCAGTTGTGTTAGTGAGGCAGGACTCAGTCTACAAGATTGGATTGTGTCTTGAGGCAATCTCTTGAGATATAAAAGACAGAAGTGAGCAGAGAGACAGGGGGACCTCATACCACCAAGAAAGCAGTGCCAGGAGCAGAGAGCATGTCCTTTGGACCTGGGGTCCCTGCGCGGAGAAGCTCCTAGTCCAGGGGAAGATTGATGAGAAGGCCAACAGAGACAGAAAGCCTTCCCCTGGAGCTGACGCCCTGAATGTGGACTTCTAGCCTCCTAGACTGTGAGAGAATAAATTTCTCTTTGTTAAAGCCATCCACTTGTGGTATTTCTGTTATAGCAGCACTGGATGACCAAGACAGATAGTCACTGAGTCAGTTGCTCCAGGCAACCAGGTGGTTAGGAGACACCCCAGCTGGACATGAGAAGGCAGCTTTCCCAATGTCTTCAGGAGGTAAAATGGGCAGAGTCGAGTGGTGGCTGAATGTGGACTGCAGGATGCAATGGGAGGATTATTTTCAGGCTGCATGCTCAGAGGAGTGGAGAGATGGTGGAACAAAAGGGAGCCTAGGAAAAGAACAGAGGTCCTGGAGGGCTGGATGTGGTCTAGTTGCATCGGAATAGACGGGGGTGGCCAGGGGAGCTGTCCGCTGGGCAGTTGGACGCAGAGGTAGGGAACTCCAGGGGGAGTTTGGGGCTGTCATGGAGTTCTCAGAGTGTCGGAGGGAAGCCTCACTAATGGAAAAGCTGACCCAGGGAAGGCGAAGAGGAAGAGTCATGGCGACAATTGCTGGACTGGTCTGAGCCTCTTCTCTGAAGAATTGTTGTTAGGTGCCGTCAAGTTGATTCCGACTCATGGTGACCCCATGTGTGCAGAGTAGAAATGTGCAACACAGGGTTTTCAAGGCTGTGACCTTTCAGAAGCCAATCGCCAGGCCTGTCTTCCAAGGCGCCTCCGGGTGCATTCGAACCACCAACCTTTCAGCTAGTAGGTGAGTGCTTTAACTGTTTGTGCCACCCAGGGACTCTATGCAGAGTACTTACCTCATTTCATCCTCACCCAACCACCGTCTACGAGGAAGGGGCAGAGCCAGGACTTGGACTCATGCCTGGTGAGATTCCAGAGTCCTTGTAACTGTGATGCTGTGCAGCCTTCTAAGACGACTTACTTTAGGGAGTTATCTGTGGAAAGGAAGTTCTAGAAACTGTGAGGACCAATGCGGTGTGGCAGGACAAAAGGGATGAGCCCTTTCCGGAGCCTTGAGGAACTTCAACGACTAGAGATGAGTTAGGGGCAGAGGACTGGGCAAAGGAGGCTGAGGAGCATCCCGAGACAGGGAACACTAGGAGACCGTGGTGTCCTTGAAGCCAGAGTGAATGCTTCCAGGTATGGGAGGAAGGTTGTCTGGTGCTACTGAGAGGTGGTAAGGGGTGGGGGTGGGGGCTGAGTCTCCTTTGGGGTTAGCAACTAGGAGGTCATTGGTGATCTTGGCCAGAGTGTTTCTGGGAAGTTGGGGGATGCCACTGTAGGGTGGGCTGAGGAGTGAGAGTGAGGAGGAGGTGAGGAGGCTGAGACAGTGACTGGGGAGCCCCCACTCCAGAAGGTTATCTGCGGAGGGCTGTGAAGAGAGAGAGAATGTTTGTGGTCGTTGGTGGTGATGGTAAGTGACGTGTGACTGTCGCCGGGCAGGAGTTGGCAGGTCAGGGAGGGGAGACAGGAAAGGGAGCCAACACTGGAGGAACAAGCCGATCACACGCAACAGGAGGAGAGGCGGGAGGGCCTGGGGCTGGGCTGGGTCTGGGGCTGCTCCTGGCTTAGCTCCGTGGTCAGCAGAAGCTGGGGCTGACACTTGTGGAGCTGCAAAGACTCTGTGAAGGGGGATCTGGGGCTGTCATGATATGGGACTGGGGACAACATGTGGAGATGAAGCAGCTACAGGCTGTAGACCCTGCCTTCACCCTGAGTCTGGGGGTGGCCCCCAGGCCTACCTGAAGGCCCCAAATGGTGAAATCCTTCAACAGGTGGAGG